AACTCCTATCCTCGGGAAGAGGAATATGTACTGTCAATTACTGAGCCATCTCTCCAGGCATCCCCCCCTCCCCCGCCAGGGTTCCCAATAGTGACTCAAAAACACTGTTGATAAAATTAAAAAAAAAAAAATGTTCTTTTGCAGTGTCTGAGTTGGCACATGCTAGAGTTCCATCTAACAGAATTTTGCGCATGCCAGACAAGAGCTATAGCACAGAGCAAAATACCGTTATTAGTGACAAAAATAACCAGCGGTGGGGAAGAGTTATCAAATGCTGGGGACAGGGGTAATGAGAGGGGAAGCTACGTCTGTCTGCCACTGTGGGGAATCAGGGTGCACGTGCTTGTACGCTGTGTGTGCTATGCTTGTCTCCAGGGCCTGTACGAAATGTCAAAGAGTGCCGATTACGCCTTAGAGGGGAAGCGGATGGCTGGAGGGCCGCAGTGCAGGGGAAGCTCTTTCAACTTATACTTTCACACCTTTCGACTTAAAGCAGTTTTACTTTATGGATGTTCTTGCATGTGTGTCTGGGCATCATACGCACACAGTGCCTGAAGATGCCAGAGGAAGGTGGGTCCTCTGTAGCTGAGGTCATAGGCAGCTGTTAGCCATCATGCTGGGAACGGAACCCAGGGCCATCTGAAGAGCAGCCAGAGCTCTTAACTGGCTACATAGGAGATCCTGTCTCTGAAAACAGAACAAAACAAAACACCAAAAAACTTCAAACTCTAAGAGTTTCTTTCTTTTTCTTTTTTTTTTTTTTTTGGTGGGAGGAGGTTTTGAGACAGGGTTTCTCTGTGTAGCCTTGGCTGTCCTTGAACTTGCTTTGTAGAACAGGCTGGCCTCAAATCACAAGAGCTCCACCTGCTCCCTTCCACATGCTGGGACTAAAGGCCTGTGCCACTACACCTGGCTTTTTTTTTTTTTTTTTTAAGGTAGGGTCTAATGTAGCCCAGGCTAAGTTTAACTGCTGTGTAGCTAATAAAAATCTTGAACTCTTATCCTCCTGCCTGTACCTCCTGAGTACTGGGCTTACAGAAATGTACCTGACTTCCGGCTTTATAGCTTGGAACTAAAAACCTGGATGGTGGGATTGGAAGCTACTGTTCTCTTTCTCTTTGGATCAGAGGGTGGGTGGGCAGGAATGTGTGCCCCAGCATGCCTGAGGAAGTGAGAGGACAACCTCAAGGAGCTGGTTCTCTCCTCATGTCATGTGGACCGCAGGGATCAAACTCCGGCTGTCCGTCAAGAACCTTTACTCACTGAGCCATCTCTTTTGGCCCAATTTCTTAAAATTCTTAACAGACGTACGGAACATACTGTCTGACATTCTACTCCTGGGAATATGTTGTATGGTAATACTGTTAAGTGTACGGAAATGACCCTGTGTCCCTGTCATAAAGAAAACACAGAATGTCAAATCTTACAAAGAAAGGTAAATCAAATTACCTTTGTATGTAAAAATTCTAGGGCCGGGGCTGGAGAGATGGCTCAGAGGTTAAGAACACCCGCTGTTCTTCCAAAAGTCCTGAGTTCAATTCCCAGCAGCCACATGGTGGCTCAAAATCATCTATAGTAAGATCTGGTGTGAGGGTAGATTGTTGTATAAATAATAAATAAATCTTAAAAAAAAAAAAAAAAGAAGAAGAAGCAAATGCTCATTAAAAAAAAAAAATTCTAGGGCTAAATAAATAAATAAATAAATGAATTCTAGGGCCAGTGACATGGCTCTGCAGCAAATGCTTGCTGCCAGGTCTGACACCCTAAGTTTGGCTCTGGGAACCAACATGCTGGAGGGAGAGACCCAAGCCTTGCAACTTGTCTTCTGGCAGGCACACGTGCACCATGACACATACACCGCCTTACATGTATAAATCAAATCTTTTTTTTTTTTTTAAGAACCAGGGTCTGTAGCAAGAATTCTGGAATTTGGTTTCTTTAAAAAAACATAAATATTATAAGAATGTGCTTTTATTTTAATCCCAGGTGAAGGGACGTGGGGCTGCTTCAGACTGTCTGCAGCAGCTGAATATGATTTGCCTTGTGCTCTAGCACAGGCACAGTTCTGCCAGCTGCAGACAGTCTGCACTTGTGTAACTCGTGGAATTCTGGGAACTTCGCAAAGGGAATATAAATGCTAGCGCACTGACAGGCGAGGTCATTGGTAGTTCAGGGAGGTTGTTTGTGGTTTGCTAGTAGCCATCGTCAAAGAAGAAACCGAAGAAAAGAAATTAGATCCAGGGGTTTTCCTATTTCCTCTCTCCCTCTCTCCTTGTTTCTCTGCAACTAGTGTTAGGGGGTGAAACAAGAGGCAGATAAGGGTGATAAAGGATGGGAAAAGAAGAACCCACAAAGTAGTGAAGACCAGCTGCGTGTGGTTATGGCACACACCTTGAATCCCAGGCAGAGGCAGGTGGATCCCTGAGCTCAAGGCCAGCCTGGTCTATAAGCCAATTCCAAAACACAGAGTAAACCCTGTCTCAAAACAAATAAACCCCACAAAAATGGGCACAGTGGTGCATGCCTGTAATCCCAGCGCTCAGGGAGGTAGAGGCAGGCGGATCTCTCAGAGTTCAAGGCCAGCCTGGTCTACAAAGCCAAGTCCAGGACAGCCAAGGTTACACGGAGAAACCCTGTTTCACAAAAAACCAAACCAAACCAAAACAGACCCCCAAAACAACAGAAGAATAGACGATGAAATATAGTATGAGGCTACTGTCATATCTATCGCCATGAAAAATGTCTAAGTTCCAATTAATGAAAAAATATAAAACTACCATATGAAAAAAGTTCCATTAAGTTATATTAGTATCACATATACTATGATATGAATATATTTTTATTTTTAAGTGTAGTGATGGGCATGGTGGCACATACTCGTAACCCTGGCACTCAGGAGGTAGAGGTCAGAGCATGAAGAGTTCAAGGTCATCCTCAGCTACACAATGAGTGGGAGCCAGCTTGGACTACATGAAATTCCTGTCCCGAATAACCAAAACCAAACCAAACCAAACCAAACCAAACCAAACCAAACCAAACCAAACCATTACAGCCTTCGTGGCGGGAAGGGGATGTGGCTCAGCTGTAGAGTGCTTGTGTGAAATGCACGTGCTCTTAGGTTTTATTTCCAGTACCACACAACTAAGAAAAACAACTGAAAACAAAACAACACCAAAAAACCAAGAAGTAGTGCCATGCACCCTTCATCCCAGCAATAGGGAGGCAGAGGCAGGCAGATCTCTGAGTTTGAGGACAACCAAGGCTGCACAGACATACCCTGTCTTGGAAAAAAAAAAATAAACACAGGCTTTCACAGAGCTAAATACTTCTATAAGATGTGTATGAGTCCCATAATTAAAGTCTAGAAGGGAGGGAGTACAGTGCCTGCCTACCATGCAGGAGGTTCGGGGTTGGGGTCCCCAGCACCACACACTCTGGGCACAATGGCAAAAAACCTGTAATTCAACCCTCCTGAGGTAAAGGCAGGCTCAGCCTCAAGGTTAGCCTTGGCTGCATAGCAAATTCAAGGCCAGGCTGGTATAGAGAAAACCTCTCTCTTGAGGACTAGGTGACAGCACAGTGGTTAAAAGACACTTGCTGCCTTTGCAGAGGACTTGGGTTTAGTTTCTAGCTCCCACATGGCAGCTCATAATTTTCCTAACTTTAATCAGAAGGGATCTGACACCCTCTTCCTGCTTCCAGCGGCACTCATGCACATACGTTCATGCAGGCAAAATACTTATATACATAAAGGTTAATATATTAATTCTTATCAATTTTATATGCATGGATTTTTATTAATAATTTGATTTAATAATTATTTCAAATTTACTTATATTAATTATATAAATTTTTACTAATATAATAGTTTTGATTAATTAATACACACACACACACACACACACACACACTCACATGGTTTTTCTATGTAGCTCTGGGCATCCTGGAACTCATTCTGTAGACCAGAACTGGCCTTGAACTCACAGAGATCTGTCTGCCTCTGCCTCCTGAGTGCTGGGATTAATGGCGTGTGTCACTACTACCCAGCTGATATATTTGTTTTAAACTCCTAAAAATCCCTGCTTGTAACCAGGCACGTGAGACCACCCAAACAGGCATGTTCTTAGTCCAGCAGGGGAGGGAAGCAGAGGGCAGAGCTCTGCAGCTTTCCAAGAGCCAGAACTGGCCCATCCTGAGGATGCTCATGGACCAGAAAGCACAACGATGGCAGGTGACTGTCCATGCCCAGGGAGCCAGGAGCCTCCTGGATTCTGGACCATAGAGGGGCAGATCTGGCCTTTCCATCTGAATGGAGTCTCTGGTGAGGCAGTCAGGCAAGCCAAGCAGACACTGAGACACAGGTACATACTCAGAGGCAGACATGTATACACACAGGTGTGCTTCACAGACACTCACAGAGACACGTAAACAAAGATATCAAGAAGCAAAAAGACATTTCATAGCCGGGTGTGGCAGCTCGCACCTATAATCCCAGCATTCAGGAGGCAGAGGCAAGTGTACCGCTGTGAGTTCAAGGCCAGTCTGGTCTACAAAATGAGTCCAGGCCAGGCAAGACAACACAGAGAAACCCTGTCTCAAAAAAAAAAAAAAAAAAATCATAAACGCAAAGGGGAGGGTGAGGAAATGGAGGAATGGAGAAATACAGAGAAAACAGGAAGAGAGAGAGAGAAAGAAAGAAGAAAGCAAGACAGAAAGACAAAGCAAGCCCATGCATTCCCATTTGCAAATGTCCCCTTGGGTATTCATTCAGCTCTGAATCCCATTCCAGCCTCCCATCGGTAGAGATGGAGTAGCTTATACCACTTCAATTTCTTCTGCAAAAAAGGCTAATCGTCCTGTTCTCAGATGTCACCAGATGTTTTGAGAGGCCATTGTTGCTGCCTGCCTTCGAGCCTGCCAGATACTGTGGACTGATAACCCAGCCACACAAAGGGCACAATCAAGTGTCAGGTGCTAGGGGTGAGGTGAGGGGTACTCACGGATAGCAGAGGAACAGGAGGTTCAGGAAGGAGTAGGTCCTGAAGAGGTGGATGAGGGACCGGCACAGACTCCAGCCTGTGGCCGTGAGAACGGTGAAGCGGGTGAGGAACAGCAGGATGGAGCGAAAGAGGGAGACCTTCCCCCTCTGAGAAGCCTGGGTTGGGGTGAGATACGACAGGCTGGGACCTTGGATGGAGGCCACAGGAGCCATGCCCTAGTCCCACAGAACATGGCCTATAATCCCACCCAGGAAAAGGCGCAGAGCAGGCTGGGAAGAACGTAGCCTGTCTTTCTGATGCCTAGTGGATTGGGAGAGTCAATGGGATACCATAACATTCATCAAATAAGCCCACAAGGAGCTCAGAGGAAATCCCTCGGGGCTAAGGGTAGGTGTGTCTCCTTGGCATCCCGTGGAAAGGGGAGTCCCAAAGCCCCTGGCCAGCCTTTAGACCCAATCACCTCCTTCACGATGGACCCAATGAAGCGGCGGCCCAGAACAATGGTGGTCACCATCAGCAAGTTGAAGTCGATCAGGTGGAAGTTCTGTCAGAGGGCAGAGGCCTGGGGGTCACATGGGCCCCTTCTCCATACATAGGCTTTTCTTATACCCATTACCTCCCCCGGCCCAGTTCTTTCCACAGAGACTGTCCCCATTCTCTGACCTTCATTGGCCTCCAGCTGACTCAGGACAGGAAATTACCTAGAGGAGTAGAACAGGACCCAGAGAAGGGAAGTGGGACAGTCCCTGGGGATAAGAGAGTGGTGTGTGAGCACTCTTGCTCTAACACCCATGTCCCTGTCCCTGAACCTCTTTTTCTGTCCAGGGTTCTTTCCACCCCTGAAGCATTCATACATTCCCAAGACTCATCTCTCAGACAAGATTTAGGATCCCGTCTGTCAGATTCAACTCTGCTATCCTTACAGAGCCCTGCATAGTTCTAAGCACACTAGCTATAGTTAAGAACCGTCGGTTTCCTGTTCCCTCTACATCCAACATGCCCAATATGGAGGCAGGGATACAGCAGGTATACAGTGGTATTTGGTAAGCTATGTAACACATACAAAACATGCAGGCATACAAGCACGCATGCGCACTCTCGAGCACACAGCCGACTCTGGCTGAGCACCTACCAGGGAGGTGTGGGAGGGTGGGTGTGAGGGTGGGTACCACCAGACCGTCTTATAGATGTTGATGTAGTGCACGAACAGGGCTATGAGCTGACAGAAGAAGAGCTGGAGCTCAAACAGAATGCTGGCCTGGACTGGCAGCTCGGGGATCTTGCAGTGCTGCAGAGGCACCACTGTCTGGGTGGCCAGCGGAGGGCTGGAGAGGCCTGTTCCAGAACTGGTCCTGGAGGTGGAGAATAACAACATCAGGAGCTAACCTGAGAATCTGGCCAGAAAAAGCTTCTGGCACAGAGGATTGTGCATTTCATCAAAAAGCAGCCTACAAGGATGAAGTCTTCCTTATCTTGCCTGGCAGACAAAAGGAGCAGAAGGAAAGAGCCTTTCCTCTCCTGACTTTATTCAAGTCTTCCCACTCTTCCCAGGAGGGAATTCTGAGGCTCGCTTTTCAAATAAGAAAAAGGAGGCCCAGAGACAGATGGCAACCTGGGCAAGCCACCAGTAAATCAGGAGTACAGCCCCAGCTGGGACTGGTTTGTTCTACCAAATCTCATAGCATCTCTCCAAGAGACCACCCTCAGAGCCTGCTCTGGTCTTTGCGGATGCTCAGTCCCCTCTAGCCCCACCTGGCATGTAGGATAGTGCGTCTTAAAATCCAGTGAGGGTCAGCCTGATCCACACTGCCACAGGAAGAGGCGGCTTACCTCGTTCGAGAACGGACGCTGGTCACTGATGCACTGGAAGTGTGGCCTCCACTAGAGGTGCCAGAAGATCCTGGCTCACAGAGCGGATTTCGACAATAAGATGTCCTGTTGGGACCTCTTCGTCCTCCTGTAGGACATGAATCAAGGATGACAGCAATGCTATATTAGTTAACTGGCATTTCATTTTCTTTCTTTCTTTGCTATGTGGATGAGGCTAGCTGTGAGCTCATGCATTTCATTTTATCAAACCCCACAGGAGCCTATGAAGCAGCTTCTGCCTACCTCCTCAGCACCCGCCTTCTGTCCCTACCCTACCCTACCCTGGGCTCTGGCTATCAGGTAGGCACATTTGTCAACTCTTGCATTTCTGTGCTTTTTATATGGAGTGCTTTCCTGCCTGTCCTTTTTGATGTATTTCTCTTCTTCTAGTGGAGAATTTCAATTTTTACTTGGTTCTGTTGTGTGTGATGAAGCATGCATGCCACACTGTGCATAGAAAGGTCAGAAGGCCACTTTTGGGGGTTAGGTTCCAAGGACTGAATTCAGGTCAGCAGGTCTGCACAATTCTCTACCTTGTCGCTTGCTGTTGTTACTTTCAAACAGGACCTCTCATTGGCCTGGGGCTCGCCAATTAGGTAGGCTGGCAGGCCAGTGAGCCCAGGAATCTGTTCATCTCAGTCTCTGCAGTGCTGGGATTACGAGATCACGCCACCACACCCAGTGTTTTTCAGGTTCTGGGAATCAAACTTAGGTCCTCACACTTGTGTGGCAAGCACTTTGGGAAGTAAGCTATCTTCCCAACCCCCCCTTCTTCTTTCTGAGACAGGGTTTCACTGTGTAGTCCTGGCTGTCCTGGAACTCGATCTGTAGACTCCACCTGCCTCTGCCTCTCAAGCACTGGGGCCACCACTGCCCAGCTAGAAATTATCTTAAAAATTTTTTAATGTATTTTATGTGTATGGATGTTTTTCCTGCATGCATGCATGTGTTCCACATGTGTGCCTCGTATGTGCAGAGGTCAGAAGAGGGCTTCAGATCCCTGAAGCTGGAGCTGGGGACGGCTGGGAATCACAATGTGGGTGCTAGGAATTAAACCTCGGCCCTCTGCAAAAGGAACTAACACTCCTCATTGCTGAGCAATTTCTCCAGTACCTCTGAAATCACTTATCTGTTAACATGTTTTGCTGTCTTTCCCACTAAAATGGAAAGTCAGTAAATTCATTTCTCACTATGTAAACAACTCAAACTTACAGCCCACCTGCCTCAGCCTCCCGAGCGCTAGGATAATGGGCTTGTACTACTAGACAGTGTCTTCCTCGTTGTTTCTGTCACTTCCAGTTCACTGGGATCTATGCTGGTAAGTGAATGGGACAATTCATGAATGGCAGGATTTTCAGATTAGTTTACACGATGTCATCAGGGACAGTAAAGAGCAGGCTCTGAGTCCTGAGCGTCTCGGTTCTGATATTTGCTCCTTTTCTTCTGGATATGAGTCTCCAGAAACTTACAATCTGGCCAGCTTTGAGACAAGTTTTTCCTCCAGGGCTCTGAGCTTAACGTCAGAATGGTCTTTGAGACAGTGCTGTGGTTGTGAAACAAAACTTAGATATTATAAAGCTGTATCTCTAAGACTAGTGGTCTATCCTAAGATCCCAGGCAGCATCCTACACATAACTCCCAAACCCTTAATCGAAGTTATAACTTGTTCATCTTCCTCATGGCAACAGAGGAGCCTCCATTCATAAGCATTGAGCTCAGGCTTCCCTAGCTCTGAAGGTTTTCTGACAGATCCTCAAAATATGCCTGTCCAAAGCTCTGACCTCAAGCCCCCAGACCGAAAACTTTGTTCACACACTGTTATATTTGGCTTGGAAAACCCCACACACACTCCCTCAGCGCAGGAACTCTGCCCACGCCCACTCTCTTTTAGAATCTGTGCACCCACACAAAGTCCTCAGCCCAGAAACTCCGCCCACACACAACTGTCAGCCCAAAGACCCCGCCCACAAGCCAGTCAAAGCCCTCCAGGACCTGAAGCTTGGCTCAGAAGGGGCTCCCTTGGTGGGCTGGGTCTCCCTTCAGCCCCAACGCCCTTAGTGCAAGCGCCTACAGTCCAGAAGGTTCTCTCCCACACCAGCGACCACAAGTCTAAAACCGCACCCTTAGCTCGCAGTCTCGCCCACCAGGCTGCCCGGCCCCCATTTCCAGCCGGGAGAATGGTGTCCCCAAGGAAGCCCGAGCCCCTTGGGCCCTCTCCATTTTGGAAGCTCCGCCCCTACGCAGTGACCCGCCCCCTCAGGACCGGAGGGGCGGGGTCCCGCCTGCGCCGCGTCCCTTCCCCTCCCCCTCCTCGCGGCTCCGGTCCGCGTGGAGCGGCGGTTAGCAGCCAGGCGTGCCCTGTCCCGCGGCCCCGGACGAGCCCAGCCAGCTCTGCTCACCCATCTCCTTCCCGCGGCGCTCTCCGCTCGCCGCCGCAGCTCCTGCGGGCAATATGTCGGAGGCGACGGCGGCCGGGAGAGGACTAACCACCGCAGCGCAGGCCGGGGATCAGCCGCGCGCTCCCGCGGGCTGCCTAATTTGCATACTAGGCGGGCTAGGAGCCGGGAGCACGCTTCTTAAAGGGGCCGTCAGGACAAAGGCTGTGCTAGCGCTCTTTGTCTCTCCTTCCCCACGCCTTTCAGGCAGCTGCTGCTGAAGTGATTCTGGAGGGGGCGTACCCACCTCCTGTGTTTCTCCACCCTGTTCTGAAGGAGGACGCCCGAGCGGCTTTCCGCCGCTGCTGAAATCCTATTCTTTAGCAACACAGTCACCTCATACTTAGCGCGTCCGGGGCTTTCGGTGCTCTCTGCTTTTATTGTAGTTTGGCTCATCCCAGTCAAAACCGAGGAAATCTTTGATCTAGACTGAGCTCTAGGCATTTCTCATGTTTATTTCACTGCCACCACCTTAGCTTAGAGCATACGCCTGCCATTTTCAAGTGCTGAAAGTATATTCATGGGTATTGATGATGATTATTAATCAATATAATTAGCTTTTTTTTTTTTTTTTAACATTCTAAGTTTTGCGGTGTGGGGGTGCGTGTAGCAGTGGACATGGGAGGACAACCTGTAGGAGGTTTCTTATTGTACCATTTAGGTTCCTAGGACAAACCTAAAATTGTCGGGCTCGGAGGCAAGAACCTTTACTTGCTGAGCCATTTCGCCAGCCATTTGACTTTGTTTTTTGAGACGGGGCCCAGGCTGGCCTTGAACTTGCAATGAGATAGGAGAATTACCTTTAATTTCTGACCCCTCTGCTTCAGGGTGTTAGAATTATCCCACTATGACAGGTTTATGTAGAGTTGGAAATCAAACCTAATGCAAGCACAATTTACTTAGTAGGGGCTGAAGATTAAGTGAGATGATCCATGTAGTCCCAGTTTTAATCAGTGTTAGCCATCGTCTGGCAAACGCTTAACAGAGGAAGCAAGTCTATAAAGGTGCTACTGTGTGCTTTCTGCCCTTGGAAGACTGATAAGCAATCTATAGAGGTGGAGGTGGGGGGATTGAAACTAGGGCCTCACACATGCTAAGCAAGTGTTCTACCACTCAACTGTATTCCCAGCCTCATAAGCAATCTTAATCATCTTGTGACTTCATTGGTTATCACAGTGCTTGGCACATATTAATCAAGCAATTAGGAGATATTAATAGATTTCTACAGAGTTTAAATTATGGGGGCAGACAGACAGTAAATTCTGTAGTACATGAGGAGAGAATGTTGTAAGAAAGGCAAAATAGGAAAGGCTGTCTGGGTGCAAGTTCAAATAGGATGGGGAAAGCAGCTTCACTGACTTGAGTTAGTCAGAGGAAGTATCTGGGGAGAGAGAAGATTCTAGACAGAGGAACAGTGCAAGGGGACTCAGCCTAATGTGTTTAAGAAGCAACAATGAGCCAGGCTCAGTGGCATATGCCTGTAATGCCAGCACTCGAGGAGGCAGAGGCAGATTTCTGTGAGTTCAAGGCCAGTTTGGTCTACAAAGTGAGTTCAGGACAGCCAAGGCTACACAGAGAAACCCTGCCTCGGGAGGGAGGTAGATACCAAGGAGGTGGGTGGAAGTTAAGAGCGCATATTGCTTTCACAGAAGACGGGTAACTCCAGCCTCCCAGTGTGCACTCCTTGATAGGAGCCAGGATCACATACAATGAATGCAGCCATCAGAGTGGCGCATGCAGGCAAGCGCGTGGGCATGTCTATCAACGCTGGGTATGAGAGGGCAGCCTACGGTGGTGGATAGCACCTTTGGGCAGGTGGTCCTGGGATATATGAAAGCTCCTGCCCTGACGTCTTTTCATGGTAGACTACAACTATAATAGAACTTCTCTCCTCGTCGTCACGGTGTCTATCACAGCAACCGACACCAGCTAGGATACAGGAGATCCTGAGGGCACTAGCACTTCTGTGCATGCACCCCACCCCAACACACACATGATCACACACTCACTGCCCCTTGGGGAGGGACCAAAGAGATGGCCTACAGGTTTGCACAACTTGGGGTTCTTCTAGAGGACAGACTCAATTTCCAGCACCTACTTGGCAGCTCACAACTGTCTGTACCTCCAGTTCTAAGGTATCCGACGATCTCCTCTGGTTTACAAGCACCAGGCAAGCACTGGTCATTATTGGGCATGGGGGGGGGAGGAAGGAAGGGAGGGAGGGAGAGGGAGAGGAGGGGAGGGGAGGGGAGGAGAGGAGAGGAGAGGAGAGGAGAGGAGAGGAGAGGAGAGGAGAGGAGAGGAGAGGAGAGGAGAGGAGAGGAGAGGAGAGGAGAGGAGAGAAGAGAAGAGAGGAGAGGAGAGAAGAGACCTGGCAACATGATCAGGCCTGACTCTCAGAGATGAAGATTTGCTATAGCTTAAGGGTTTTGTTCAAGGCTCCAATGCCTGTCTGTTGTGTGCAAGACCCGGAGATTAATCTCTAGCCTTATGTTTGTTTTTAAAGTGTACCATTTGGGATGAAACTGCCTGTGGAGTTGGTAGAAAAATGTCTATGAACCTGTAATATAGATGCTAGACCTTGCACAGTCAATTTCCCAGGAAATATTTACTGAATTGACTCGGCATATATACGACTCAAGTCTAAGAAAGTAAGGGCACTCACAGTCCCAACCCACTTTATTGAGTAGACTACCTGCTCTTCCATTCCTCCGCCCAGTAACAAAACTGATTCTCCCTTGTAGAATTTTTCGCTTCTTCACTCTGTCCATTTGTTGAGTCAGCTTTCTTGCTGTTCCAAGAGGCAAATGATTGGCAAATCATTTCAAGATTCCTGCTACTCCAGACAAGTGACTGGCTTAAGTTGAGGGAAACTCAGTGATCCAAGTAAGGTAAAATGAGCTACTTTCATAGCATACATGCTAGAACTAGCAAGGAAGAATCTTGGCATCTTGTGATGGCTAATCACAGTGAAGGTCTTGAAATGTCACGTGCAGCCACCCCAGCTCTCAAGTGACCTGGCTTACCAGAAACAGACTTTACATCTTTTTTGTTTTTAGACAGGCTTTTCTCTGTGTAGACCTCGGAACTCAAAATGATTTGACTGCCTTTGCCTCCCAGAGTCCTGGGATTACAGGCATGAGCCATGGCTCCTGGCTTAGATCTGACTTTCAATACAAGAATATTCAGGGTCTTCATGTTCATGCTGTAATCTCTTGGACCATTTTTCTATCAGCCTTTCCATACATCAGCCCTTCAAGGCCGTCCGTCTATGTCGAACTCTTCACATTTTATACACATTACAGAGATAATAAAGCAAGCCACTGGGGAGTTTTTGTTTTCTTTAAGATAGGGTTTCACTTTGTAACCCTGGCTGGCCTCCAACCTCAGAAATCACCTGCCTCTGCTAGGATTAAAGACATGTGCCAGCATGCCCTGCCCAAACACTGAATTAAAGGCCCCATAAAGTCTGAATAGACCTGCAGTCTGCATTGGGAAGGTACAAAGCAAAGGTTGAGGTCAGGCTTTGTTCCAGAAGTCTATCAGGCTTGACAATAATCATGATCAGTTTTGTCAACCTGACACACAATCTGGAATAACTAGGGAAGAGTCTCCGTGGGCATTTCCCAGATCAGGTTGGCTTGCAGTGATTATCTTCATTATATTAACTGAAGTTGGGGGACTCATTTACTCATGCCCTGGGTTTGCGGTCCTGGACCGAAGAGAAAATGAGGAGTCTAAGCACCCATTCTCTGCTCTTGACTGTGGATATGATGCTGCTTCAAGTTCTTGCGGGTTTGATTTTTCCTATGGTCTGTAATTGGAACTACGATATTAAAATAAAAAAAATTTCAAGTTGCTTTTGTCAGGTTATTTTGTTATATCAATGGAAAACAAATCTAAGACAGTAAGTGAAACTAGGAAACACACTTATAAGATCACCTGAGGATCCTAAATGCCACAAGGAATTTCAGTTTGATTCCATGTCTGAAATTTAGGATCAATTCTTATTCATTATTGTGAGGACTAATGGAGAGTGGATAGCAGAGTCACAGGACATGAGAAACTGTCATCAAGAGTTGGAGATTTGCCCCAGCTTGGTACCTCAGAATGGTCTGAATATTAGTCTCGTATTTGACCTCACTTCCCCACTATGAGCATCCCAGCAGAGGGAGCCAAATCCAGAGAAACAGGGAATCCCCAAAGCAACAGGAGCTTGGAGGTCATCTTGCCTCCTCAGACACATGCTCAGAGACTGGGGAAGGCTGCCTAACAGACAACCTAAAGACTATGTGTGTATGTGTGTGGTGCAGATTTTTATATCTTAGGCCCTAACACCCATAAACTGTTTGTAAATTATTAGGACCAACTGGGATCCCCAGTGCTATCCAGATGGCCTACTTAGACCTCAGAACCGTAGAAAAGGGAGCTTGGAACAGGCATGGTGGTGCACGCCTTTGATTCCAGCACTTGAGAGGTAGAGGCAGGCAAAATCTGAATATGAGATCCAGGCCAAGCCAGATAGGGTGACCTTATCTCAAAATAATAAAGATTATTAACAAGAGCTGGAGCCAGAGCCAGTATTCAAGGCCAGCCTGAACTAAAGTGGGGACCCCATCTCAACAGTACATACACCCACACACAAACATACAAATTACTGTATGAAGAGGTGGGGAGAGAAAATGTCATGTGGGAGCAGTACCCGTGTGGCATTAGAAATCACAAAGGGCAACAGGGACAATCATGGTAGTGTATGCCTGTAATTCCAGCACTAGAGGTTCAGTCATGTTTGAAGCCAGACTGGACTACGTACAGTTAAATTGTGTCCTCTCTTCCCTGCTACACAAATCAAAAAGCAATGGGGTTTAGTTCCTCTAATCATGATTTACTAGCAAAGTACAGCATTACAGATTTGGAATATTTTATAGCTTTATTTTCCACTTACCTCCACTAAGACAGATGAAGATTCACCCACCCAACCTCTAGAGGTATTAAAACAAAGGCCCAGAAAACTCAACAACTTACCTAAGACCAGACACCATCCAAGATCAGAGATGGGCCTGG